GCCTCTGTGAGTGCTTGCTTCTCGTCTTGCATAACTGATTCTTTAATCCCCAGAAACTTGTAGTTGGATCCTGACTCGAGATTCTTGACCACTGACGTCTCGTTGAGTTTGACGTCTTTGGCATCTTGGACTTGTTTACCTCTACGCACATGAATAGCGCTACACTTTTTTGGGTTCCAGTGAAGTCCCATATCTTGCATTGCAGTGCAGGTTGATCGAAGTACCTGATTTAGTTTAGTTTCAGAGGCAGCAAACACTTTCAGATCGTCTACATAAAGTAAGTGTGTTATTCGAGCTGATAAGGGCTTAGACAGTCTGTATCCCTCTGTAGCATTCAATAACCAAGCAACAGGGTTAAGGCACAGTGTGAAAAGGCGTGGGCATAGGGCGTCGCCCTGAGGCAGTCCCTTGTGAAATCTGATGGTGGTAGACGTTTCGCTTCCTTGCTTTGTAGTCGCTACGATCTTGGTATTCCAGCTTGCGCTCAGGTGTTTTATCACTTTACCAATCCAGGCGGGTACCCTGTGTACTTCCATCATCTCAATCAACCAGTTATGATCAACAGAATCATACGCTTTCCGAACATCAACCCATGCCATGCTTAAATTGCGTTTACCTCGATGACAGTCCTGAGTGACCATCCTATCAATCATAAGGTTGTCAGTCGTTCCACTACAGCCAGACTTCGCTCCCCTCTGTTCGCCTTCCATAAGGTCATAGTCATTCAGGTGTTTATCCAACGGGGTCTGGAGGCATGAGGTAAACCACTTATTGATGTTATTCAGACAGGTTATGGGTCTTTGGTTTTCACTTGAAAAGTCTCCTGGTTTAGGTGTTAAGCGTGTTTTACCCTCCGAGAACCATAGTGGAAAGTATTCGTTGTATTTAGAGATGGATTCAAATGCACGGGTAACCCCCTCATGTAGTGAACTGGCGCATTTCCACCATTTCCCATTAACTAATCTGTCTGGGCTAGGTGCGCTGAAGTTTCGTTTCTTGAGTAAAGTCTTGACGGCCAGTGGGGTTTCGAGATTCCACTCTCGTTCTACGGTAGTTGGTACTTGTTCAGCGACAGCTTCTTTCATTTCCAGCAGCCATTCAGTTTTTTCGTTACCAGATCCTCTCGTCTCCCACAAGCTCTGCCAGAATCTGCTCGCTTCTTCGATATTCTCGAAGGTGTTAGTGTTACTATCAGGATTAATGTTTTTGCCAACTCTTTGGTATGTAAGGCGATCTTGTCTATGATCCATCATCTCTGTAAACTTTGCATAAACCTGTCTTGCATCTTGCTTGAATTGGTTGTTTAGTGATCTTGCTTCATGTTGTTTCTTTTTTCTCTAAGGTACTTTTCCTTTAACTTTCTCTGCTGCGGTTTTTTCTTTTCCATGTAGTTGACGAGTTCAGCCGATGAGATTACTTTACATTCTTCTAGCAGGATTGAACTATTCCGTTTCCCTTTCTTGGTAAATTTTCTGTTTTCTCTTAGCTTTTCTAACTCCGCCTTGGCGATAGCTATTTTCTTTCTTAAGTCTCTAGCTTTGCTCTAAAATTCTTTCTTTTTTCCTTCGGAGTTTGGTTTCCTCGGTGCACCTTGTACAGTAGATCTTTTCCATCGTTTTAGCGGTAGAAAAGCGGCTGTGGCTGAACAAAGTGCACAATTAACCATCCATAAATAAATAAATGGGTCTTCAGTCGGTGATACATTATGTTGATTAATTATTTCATTCAAGGCGATGTTGATGTTTTCACTGTCTTTCTTCGTTGGTTTTTCTTTAGTTCTGGTGTCGATTTCCCGGTTTTCATAGTTACCTGGATCGATATGCACTAGATCAAACATTTGCGACGACTTTTCTATCAGTGACGTCTCGTTGAGTTTGACGTCTTTGGCATCTTGGACTTGTTTACCTCTACGCACATGAATAGCGCTACACTTTTTTGGGTTCCAGTGAAGTCCCATATCTTGCATTGCAGTGCAGGTTGATCGAAGTACCTGATTTAGTTTAGTTTCAGAGGCAGCAAACACTTTCAGGTCGTCTACATAAAGTAAGTGTGTTATTCGAGTTGATAAAGGCTTAGACAGTCTGTATCCCTCTGTAGCATTCAATATCCACGCAACAGGGTTAAGGCACAGTCTGAAAAGCTCTGAGAATAGGGCGTCGCCCTGAGGCAGTCCCTTGTGAAATCTGATGATGGTAGACGTTTCGCTTCCTTGCTTTGTAGTCGCTACGATCTTGGTATTCCAGCTTGCGCTCAGGTGTTTTATCACTTTACCAATCCAGGCGGGTACCCTATGTACTTCCATCATCTCAATCAACCAGTTATGATCAACAGAATCATACGCTTTCCGAACATCAACGCATGTCATGCTTAAATTGCGTTTACCTCGAAGACAGTCCTGAGTGACCATCCTATCGATCATAAGGTTGTCAGTCGTTCCACTACAGCCAGACTTCGCTCCCCTCTGTTCGCCTTCCATAAGGTTATAGTCACTCAGGTGTTTATCCAACGGGGTCTGGAGGCATGAGGTAAACCACTTATAGATGTTATTCAGACAGGTTATGGGTCTTTGGTTTTCACTTGAAAAGTCTTCTGGTTTAGGTATTAAGCGTGTTTACCCTCCGAGAACCATAGTGGAAAGTCTTCGTTGTATTTAGAGATGGATTCAAATGCACGGGTAACCCCCTCATGTAGTGAACTAGCGCATTTCCACCACAAGTTAACCAATCTGTCTGGGCCAGGTGCGCTGAAGTTTCGTTTCTTGAGTAAAGTCTTGACGGCCAGTGGGGTTTCTAGATTCCACTCTCGTTCTACGGTAGTTAGTACTTGTTCAGCGATAGCCTCTTTCATTTCCAGCAGCCATTCAGTTTTTTCGTTACCAGATCCTCTCGTCTCCAACAAGCTCTGCCAGAATCTGCTCGCTTCTTCGATGTTCTCAAAGGTGTTAGTGTTGCTATCAGGATTAATGTTTTTGCCAACTCTTTGGTATGTAAGGCGATCTTGTCTTTCATCCATCATCTCTGTAAACTTTGCATAAACCTGTCTTGCATCTTGCTTGAATTGGTTGTTTAGTGATCTTGCTTCATGTTGTTTCTTTTTTCTCTAAGGTACTTTTCCTTTAACTTTCTCAGCTGCGGTTTTTTCTTTTCCATGTAGTTGACGAGTTCAGCCGATGAGATTACTTTACATTCTTCTAGCAGGATTGAACTATTCCGTTTCCCTTTCTTGGTCAATTTTCTGTTTTCTCTTAGCTTTTCTAACTCCGCCTTGGCGATAGCTATTTTCTTTCTTAAGTCTCTAGCTTTGCTCTAAAATTCTTTCTTTTTTCCTTCGGAGTTTGGTTTCCTCGGTGCACCTTGTACAGTAGATCTTTTCCATCGTTTTAGCGGTAGAAAAGCGGCTGTGGCTGAACAAAGTGCACAATTAACCATCCATAAATAAATAAATGGGTCTTCAGTCGGTGATACATTATGTTGATTAATTATTTCATTCAAGGCGATGTTGATGTTTTCACTGTCTTTCTTCGTTGGTTTTTCTTTAGTTCTGGTGTCGNGCAGCTTGATTTCGTAGATTGTTTCTGGGTATTGCGAGATGTTCATAGCCTTGTTGATCCCAGAGTTCCTTCATCACTCCCATGTAACCTTTCTTACGATTTCCATCTATAACTTCGGGCGCATTAGATTTAACCATTTGTTGGGCTTTCCTTTTGCAATCGAGTAATGTTGAATTCATTTCGTCCGTCCACTTGAGCCTCTGTTTGCGTGGAGGTTGTTGTAAGTTATCTTCCATATTGTTGTCAGTTAACATTATTGAAATTGTAAAGTTTGAGACTTTGACTGATTTTCCTGCGTTTAGAGACAGCAAATATCTCCCCTGTTCGGTTTGACAATTTCCAAAGTGCATGCGTACTTGTCCAGATGTATAATAGCGCTCTAAACTTGGCTTGCTTTTGCGAAAAACAAGATTACTAACGGAGCCGCCAGAACCCGTCTCCACTACTCGCCGCCATTATTATTATTATTATTAGTATTATTATTATTATTATTATTATTATTATTATCGTTATTATTATTAAAAGCAACCACGCAAAGTGCAAATATCCCGCCTCCGGCTCACTTAGAGTTGGTCTTGATCTCAGAACTAACAAAAACTGTAGACCACACCCTTTATAAACGAAAAAAAAATGTTTGCCATCCTACAAACACCCCCTCTTAAAATGCTGACACTAACCACATAGTGTTGACACAGCTTATGTTGAGTGTAACCCACACAGTGATTTTGTATTTGTCGGTTCTTTGTTTGAGACCTCTTGTTTTTAAGGCTTCTGCTTATTTTATTGATCTGTGTGGCAAAACTAAAAAACAGACGTACATAACTGACAATTTGGTACAGAAATGAGAAAAATGAGTTCAATTGTGTTAAGTAATGACGGTAAGAGGAAGCTTTATTTACTGGTTGTGGTTTGATCCACATGTTTTGCGAACTTCTTTCATCTGCATTCGCCTAATTGGGAGGAGAAACGAAGAAATTTTTATGTTCGAACTGGGTGTTTGCCGAGTTTGCCTATATCAGCAACGCGTTCCCTCTAGTACAGCGGTCGGTCTTGCCACGTTAAATTCAAGATGGCGGAAAAGGGAGACAAATACTCTATTTTGCTTCCTACATATAACGAGCGAGAAAACCTACCCTTGATCGTGTGGTTAATTGTGAAGGCTTTTTCAGAGTGGTAAGACACACTCTGTTATTTATTGTAGTTCATTAACATCTTCATCCACGTCGGATTTTAAAAATCCTTAATTAAATTTTATTGTTTTTGTAGTGGGTATGATTATGAAATAATAATTATCGACGATGGAAGTCCAGACGGTACCCAAGAGGCAGCCAAACAACTGGAAAACATTTATGGCTCTGATATAATAGTAAGTAGCGAGAGAGACATGCGTACTTTTCCTTTTTGGTCGAAAATGTTCAGACAATTGCAACCTGTTCTGGGGTATACTCGTGAGGTTTTGGAAGAAATGAGACGAGCCGTCATCAGTGTTTCTATTTATTTTAGCGGTTGAGACCAAGACCGAGCAAGCTTGGCCTGGGTAAGTAACTTTCAACTAAAAAATCTCATTTTTTTGTTATTACTGTCATCATTCCTACTTCTTCTTCCACAGGGGGGCCATACAATCTGTGTAGCGCTGACTGTTGTTTTATAACTTGAATGTACCAGATTTACCGTTTGCCTCACCTATAGTGATATATTGCTGACTATATACATAAATCATTGATAAATAAACGTTGAATTACTTTACCTGTGGTGTATAGTCGTCCTTTTGCCTCAAAAATGTTTTTTTATTTTGAGTGATTTTGAATAAGTCTGAGTTCGTCGTTAATGTAATGTATAAAAGAAAGATAAGGGGGAAGCCTTGTTTAGAAAGGGTTCAAGCATCGCTCCGCTTTCAAACTTCGCGGCATTAAGGTCAAAAGATACACGATTCTCCTTGTACCTTCCCATCGAAAATCCATCCAAACAGACCAGAGCTAGCCCTTGAAGAAAATCAAAATCTCACAGTATTTGAGCACCTGGGAGGTGCTAGCTCCGATCCGTTTGGATTGATTTTTGATTGGAAGGTACGAGGAGAATTGTGCATCTTTTGACCTTAATGCTGCAAAGTTTGAAAGCGGAGCAATGCGATTTTCGGGGGAAAATCGCTCAGGTGCTTGAACCCTTTCAGAACAAGGCTTCCACCCTTGTCTTTCTTTTTATGCATTACATTAACGACGAACTCAGACTTATTCAAAATTGCTCAAAAAAAACATTTTTGAGGCAAAAGGACAACTATACAACTATACATATATAACTATACATACATAAAGTAATTCAACGATTATTTATCAATGATTTATGTACATAGTCAGCAATATATCACAATAGGTGAGGCAATTGGTAAATCTGGTACATTCACTATAAAACAACAGTTGGCGCTACACAAACAGATGGTATGGACCCCCTGTGCTTCTTCTTGCTATTGGTGACTGACTACAGTCACTTTTAGCAGCTCTGTATACCAAAAATTGAAATAACTAAGCTTTCATGCAGATGCTAGTGATCCTTATGACAATTGTAATATAATAATAATAATAATAATAATAATAAT